GCCTGCTCCTCTGCAGAGAGCGCACAGTGATTTGTCCTGTAGAGGAGAGAAATACATGGAGATGAAAATGACTTAGGCCTCTGTTTCTTCTATAAACGCGCACACAAACATACAGGATATATTTGTATATAGTCCATAATCCAGGGCAGTTGATTCAGTTATACATATGGCCATATACTGATGCAATACTGTTAACTCGGTTTGGTTTTGTGGGGCACAGGAGTGGTAGATGTTGAGAGATGGGAACATTACTCATTCCTGATTTAGGAATTCAAACTGGCAACCTTTTACTCACAAGTTGAAATTGGATTGCCATTTACAGTCTACATCTTGATGGACTGGAATCAAAATATTAAGGAAGGTCAGGGACAGTGTTAGCCAGGTCTGCTGAAACGTTATCTAACTGGATATGTCTCCTAGAACCGTAAGGCTTGGCCTAAAGGAGACAGGAAAGTGTGAATGTGGAGTCACAGCTCAATCTGTGGCCTGGTTTTAATCACACAGACCTCAGCCTCTATAGCCTGTGGATGAATCACCCAGCATACTGTCGCCACAACTGAGTGAGGGCATAAAGTACTTTGAAGACCATGGTCCAGCATTTACACTTTGTAACATCTAGACTGACTTTCTCAGAGTAGAGGCACTACTGCAGGTCATGTTTTTGGTTTTCTCTATTTAAATCTGAATACCTTTTGAGTTTGTCCATTGTGAAAAACTCCATATTTGTATAAACTTGGACATTCTTCAAAATATTCTTTACCAGTGTAACTTCAGTCAGACATTGCCATGCAATGCTGGATTACCAACTGGGCAAAGTAGGCAACAGAGAATATGGGGGATATAGTTCCAGGCTTATGGTTCATGCTAATTTGATAACAAAATTTGTTTGGAAATATGCATCAAAATGTATGCTTTGTGTAGCTGTAAAATCACTGAACAGTGTCCGAACCCCCCTGACTTTGAATCAGGGCAGCTGCATCTCACTGGTTTTAAAATTTTCCGAATTCAACAATCAGACAGTGCCTGGCTAGGTGTGTGAAATGAGCAAGCAAGGCAGGGTAGAACTCTCTCAAGCTCTCTTTTTTTTTTATTTCATTGCACAACTATTTCTGTCATTTTTCATATGTACAACAAAGTGTGGGCTGTCCAAAGGTGTATGGCAAGATCTTCATGTCAGACTTATACCATCTCAACCCTGTGTACAATAGCTGTTGAGTGTGCCCTACCAGAACACTATGGCTGATCGCACATCGCACAGACTACCTATAATTTAACACTGGTAATGCTTCATGATCATATGTTGAATACCACACGCAGGTAGCATCCCAGCACAGAGAAGCTGTACAAATTACACAGAGAGTGAGAGGAGCATGGGGCTTCTTTTTCCCTGCGGTCCATTAACATGTTAATGCCACTGTGCTGCCATGTAAAAGGTGTCTTTTCTCATCATTTCTTTCACACATCTGCAGTACTGAATGTCAGTGCAAACATGCCTACCTTTCAAACATTCACAGAGCATGGCGAAATTGCAAGATTACAGTTAATCACTATGTTCTTTAGCATGACATTGCTAATATGCACATGCACAGTTTGATGCAGTTACCAGTTTCAGCACTTGAAAGGCATGTGATCTGAAATCAGAGACAGCTGTATTGGATATGAAATACATTGCTTGCTATCCAGATTTGTTGGATATCAGACGGTGCAAAAGATGAAGCTTGGTTAGCTTGACAACTTTATGCTGGAGTTCTTTCTTTTTGTGATTTATTGGGTAAAGGAATCACATTGATAAAGCCACATGTAAAGTCACAGAGGGCCTGAGAGAAACTGAGGACAGAGGAGTTTCACATGGCATCCATGACTGTGTTCAAGCTAACAGCTTCTGGACCAGTAGCTTTTGTTCCACCATGAAAAATAGTCTCCCTGCTGCTGACTGGAGTCATGTCAAACTTAATTTTGCTGAATTTTCCAAGTTTTTCCTTCTCCACCACTCTTCATGCTGTGACTGTATTACTCTGTGTCGGTCTGCTACCCAACAGCTGTATGTGACCTGCCTTTGCCTTAACTTGGTCCAACTGTGCTTCAGTCAGTTGTGGCTCAGATACCACTACATATAGTATATGTAGGTAGGGCTTTGGTTTGAGGTGGCACAGTGGTGTGATCATCTGTTGCTCCACAGTAAGAAGGTTCAGAGTTCACATTCATATTTGTGAACAGCTCCTTTCTGAACACTGGTGAGCTCTTAAGCTGTGACGTGTGCACACATTCAGCTGAATGTGAGCTACATGCGTGCAAGAATAACAATGCTAATGTCATTTGTGCGACAGTCAAATCACATAATTTCCTGAAGCTGCTCAGTTACAACATGTTCCCTCTCTGCCTTGGCCTGATCAGAAGCTTCTCCATAAATGTCCAACAAATGTGAGACGTGCTCCTCTCTCCACTGACCCCTGCTGTATTGCTGCTCTTCTCTGTTTATTTTTATTGGTCTGTGAGGGGCAGAGTGAATGATGATGACAGACAATATAAGCATGTGTAGAGGAATGAGACCCACATGAATCCCAGTCTGACTGTTCTGACACAGGTCACATGGTCACAAATCGGATATGAATCAGATCTAGGTTTCATATATGCAAGTGACCCAGATCTAATCTGAATAAATCAGATTTGGCTTCTTCACACATGCATGAAAAGGTCAGATCTGAGTCACTTGGAGGGGAAAAAACTGGAGGAGTCACTTCAGCATGTAGCCTAACATGTCAGCCCTGTGATAGACTGGCGACTTGTCCAGGGTGTACCTCGCCTCTTGCTCGCTGTCTGCTGAGACTGGCTCCAACCCCTGTGACCCTCTACAGGATAAATGGTATAGATAATGAATATGGCTTGGTTTTGCTGTTGGGAATAGCATGATTGCCAGAAAGTTTTAACAGCCATCACAAGAAAGTGTAGAAAACTGCTCTGATTTTATCTTGAACGTTCTAGCACTGTTAAGACAATAAAATGATTTACAGCTCTCATCTGACTGAAGCAAACATTTTCTTGTTTCTCCTATCCTTATCCTCCACACTCTTTTGTCATTCCTCCTTTTTGCTCTGTGAATGGAGGCACCACTGTCCATGCCTGATAATGCATTGCTGAGATAGCGATAAGAAGCAGCTGACTGAGGTTTTACAGTTCTGCATAGACATTTGAGATACAATGTGATTTTGTAGCGCTGGCGAAGAACAAAAACAAGGACTGTTCACATAGGATTTATGTTCTCAGAGGATGTAATTTGCTAATGGAACAAAGCAGCCACATACTCGTTTGCTGACACAGATGTCTTTGCCTTTTATGTGACGCTTCATAAAGGAGACGAGGACGTCATCCCAAGATCCAGACAATAAAATGAAGGCATGCTCAGGGCTCATATTAAATTACTGAACTTCATCCCTTGTTGCTGTAACACAAAGCCAAGTTAGGGTGCCTTGACCTCTCTAGAGGGGTGTCGATTGACTACTGACGGCAACATAACCTCATTGTGCCCATTGTGTACTTGGCATCTCACAAAGTTTAATACGGGCCGTTGTCCCTCTGCCCTGCTGACAGCAGTTTGTGCTTTCACAGAGCGCTATCACTTACAGCAGGTCCCTAATCTGATTTGTGGAATCCCACTGACCGCCCACTCAAGCCACTGCTCTGCCCCTGCAGTGTGACATCACTGCCAAAATACACATGCTGAGATGGACACTGGGGCAGGTTTACAGACAATGACAGACTCACACACATATGTAATTGATCTTTTTTTAATTCTAGTCCCTCAGAGAAGTAAAAGCAACAGCATCATAATCTACAACACACACACACACACACACAAAAGGATAGACACATGTATGTAGATGTTCCAGATTCCACTGTAAGCCACCCTTTTTGTTATGCCCTATCCATCTGCAAGTATTCACTCACATACACACTTCTAAACACAACATGCATTGAGAGCCCAGGTTCAGAGCCAGACATTCCACTCCGCTCCACATTATTGACCTCAGCTGCTCTGAAATGACAGGCAGGAGAGGAATGTGAATTCTTGCCATCTGGACATATCCTGCCTATTGAAAGCATGTATTCAGATGAATAAGCACATGCATGTTTACCTCTGAGCTATCATCCCTGCCCCTCACATTTCCTTTGGCAGCCTTAGTGCCTCCAGGCATCTAAGGTCACATTCTGTCCTGTCTAACTCAGGTCTTGCTTATTCTGTACATATTTAGAGCCTCTCCTATGACAGTTTCCTCTGGCACATTTTTATACTGAGTAATTACCTATATTGATGATTGATTTTTCTCCTCTGCATGCCATACCTATTCGTCAACCATGTAAATGAGTCATTGTGCTGTCCGCTGATCATCTCTTCTACCGATGTTCTGATCTATCGGCCAGTTTTTGTCTCCTTGCCTATTCCCTTCTCTTGCCCCAGATCTCCTGACCTT